GAATTTAAGTTTTACTTTTATTTTTAAATCCTCACCCAAGGATTTAACTTCAGACAGAGTGGGAGGAAGGGAAAGAGAGAGAAGAGAGAGAGAGAGAGAGAGAGAGAGAGAGAGAGAGAGAAACATTGATGTAAAAGAGACACCGATTGGCTGCCTCCCCCATGGCCCTGACCAGGGCCAGGGACTAAACCACAACCGAGATATGTGCCCTTGACTGGAATTGAACCCTCAACTCTGGTCTGCCGGCAGATGCTCTAACTGCTGAGTCAAATCATCCAGGGTATTTTAATTAATTTACATTTAAGTATAAATGCTCATATGTGACTAGTGGGTATTATATTTGGACAGTGGTATTCTAGAACTTTGGATATAGAAATGTTACTTTGGAATATAGAAGAGAGACAGACCCAGAGAGCAGAAGAGAAGGGAGGACAGGGGCAGAACGAGGCACGGGCGAATGCTGGTTGTAAGTCCTCTTTACAGCCACAAGATGACACCATTGTTCAAAGTCTTTTACTCTGAAAAGCAAAGCAGCCGGTTTGGGATTCTCTTTCCCCTTCCTTCCTTTTTCCTCCCATTCTCCCCGTCCCTCTTCTTTTCTGCCTCCCTTCCTTCGAGCTTTCTTCTTTTTTTTAATCCTCACCCAAGGGCATTTTTGAGGACATTTTTGCATTCATCTCCAGATAGAGCAGGAGAGAAGGGGGAGAGGGAGAGAGAGAGAGAATCAATGTGTTGAGAGAGACATCCAGTGGTTGCCACCCACATGGCCCCGGTTGGGGTCCGAGACTGCAACCGAGGTACGTGCCCTTAGCAGGAACCGAACCCGGGACTCCCTGGTCCGCCGGCTGACGCTCTAACTGCTGAGCCAACCCAGCTTTCTTCTTTATCTGTCTTTCTATCTTCATACTCCCTTCCTCCTCCTCCACCTCTACCTCCACCCCTGCTTTTCCTCTCTCCTCCTCCTTCAATATTGACTTTCTGGTGGACTTGAGCAATGAGACAGCAGAGACTGCTTTGTGAAGCTCAGAGAGATCAAGATCCCGAAGACTGATACTTGGCTACACGCACCGCAGTAGTTGGCTCACTGGACAGGGCTGGAAAGGCTGGGTCCACGCGCTTTTCCTTCTCTCTGGGCCCTGTTGTTACTGCCCTGGGCCTGGCCCTCAGTTTGGGTGGCCCGGGGATGATCTTGTTCACTCACCTTTGCCCTTACCAAGTCTTTTCTGCTGCCCCCCGACCCCCAACACACTTCTTGGATGCTCCAGCCCTCAGATTTGGTTCTAGGAGTCATCAGAAAATCTCCAGAGAAACTAGAAACGTGTAGAAAACGTCTCCTGGTGGGGGTTCTGAGGTCTCCTTTGTATTGTAGCCTAAGAAAAAGGCAGTCAGAGACTTGGAGATGGTGAGCAAAGCTTGCAGCATTTCCCTACGATTTTTGTAGTTTGGGACTAAATCTCCAGGGATGGGGCAGGGCTGCAGGCTAATTCTAGCACAGCAGCATCGGGGCTACGAAAACACACAAAGGAAACTTCAAAGCTCTTCCGCCAAACTGAATGGGCAGGGGCCTGCGGAAGGGTCTGGGATGTTCACTTTGCACCAGAAGCACTCTTAACCGCGTTTAGACGTCCCTGCAGCTCTGGAAGCACACAGGGCCCGTCCTCTCGGAGTGGAGTCGGGATTCAACAGGGCCCGAAGGCAAAGACAAGGAGAGCAGAGCCCAGAATAGTTGGGTTCTAGCTCTGACTGCTCTCTGGCTTAAGCATTGCGGCTGATTTCATTTCTGCAAACTGAATCTGATCACTGCAAGAACTCACTCCGCTGCAGTCCTACCTCCTCCCCAAACCAGGTCAAACCCTGACACAGCTCCTTTGGAGCAGGGCGTGGTGTGAATTCCTAATGTCGGCACCATTCATTTCTGAGGCCCAAGTGACTCCTTTATCTCTGATAGGCACAGGGATCAAAGGAGGGTATTTATGGCTTACAAACAAATCTCCCATTCGTTCCCATGCTGTAAAAAATAATAAAAAGCTCCTAAACCTCCCTTCCTCTCCCATCTCTTCCCTGCCCAGGCTTCTCTGTCTTAACAGTCCCTGTACTAAAACAAGTCTCTACTATTCCTCTCTCTGTTTTAAGGTCAAGCCACTGCCCAGCTCCAGGGAGTCTTGGCTGCAACTGTTTGGAGTGAGTGGTGCTGATCCCTCTGTCCAGGTGAGGATGGGAGGTCCCTGACCTCAGGCAGGCTCTCCCTGGGAACTTAGCATACTTACTTTGCCTAGGTATGTATATCAGTACTACCTGGGTAGTCTAGAAACCTGCCCCATCACTTATTAGCTGTGGAACCTTGGGCGAGTTATTTAACATTTATAATCCTTAGTTTCCCAGTCATTAAGGAGGGATAATAATAGCACCTAAGGCAAGCTTATGAGAAATAAAAAAGATAAAATATGTAAAACGCTTAGTACAGAGCCTGATACAAAATAATGTCAGCTACATTTTGTCAGTATCTCAACATCCTTATTTTATTTCCAAGAACTTGTAGCTGGAATGCAAACTGAGTCATTCATGTTCTTTTGTGGCCTCTAAGAGGTGCTGAACTGAGGATCTCACCAGGACCCTGGACAGGAATCAGATTGGGGGGGGGAGGTGGGTCCTCAGCCTTAAGGAGGCTGTGAGATGTGCCCAGGTCAGTTTCTCAGCCTCGATACTATTGGCATTTTGGACAGGGTACCTTTTTGTTGTGAAGAGTCATCCTATGAACTTTAGAATGTTTAGCAGCATCTCTGGCCTCTACTCACTAGGTGCCAGTAGCAACCTTCTAGTTGTGACAATAAAAATAACATTTAAAAAAGATTGTTTTAATCCTCACCTGAGGATACTTTTCCATTGATTTTCAGATAGTATGAGAGGAAGGGAGAGAGAGAGAGAGAGAGAGAGAGAGAGAGAGAGAGAGAGAGAAAGAAACATCAATTAGTTACCTCCCACACGACCCCAACCAGGACCGGGGATCAAATCACAACCGAGGTACGTGCCCTTGACCGGAATCAAACCTGAGACTCTTTGGTCCACAGGCCGATGCTCTAATCACTGAGCCAAACCAGCCAGGGCTAACATTTAAATTTAAAAAAAAAAAAAAAAACATGTCTCTAGACATTGTCACATTATCCCTGGGGGCTAAATTGCCCTTGGTTGAGAACCACTGGTCTCCACAGACGGGCATCCACAGAGATACCTGGCTACACTGAGGAGGCAGGAACGAGCATGATCGGGGAGAAGACTCTCCTTCCCCAGGCAGGGCTCCGGCGCACCCTCAGGGTTGAGTGTAGAGGTTGGCCTTGAAACATCCACCCCACCCTCATCCCTACCCCTGAACCCTCTGGCTTCCCCTAGTAAACATGTGGCCTGGCTTCCTCAAGAGGCAGTGCCCTGCTTGGATGTGAACCTCCAGCATTCCTGTTCCCAGAACCAGAACACATAACCCTGTCCAGCCCGGGGAGCTCTAGCCAAGACACAGAGCCCCAGTGCACAGAACACTCACTGAACAAACTTTGGGTCAATTCTCATCCCAGGCAGAGTACAGAACCAGGCTGCTTGGGTGCAGATGGATCCCTGCTTTGCTACTCACTCACTGTGTGACCTTGGGCAAATTGCTTGACCTCTCTGTGCCCTAAGATCCTTACTGTAAAATGAAGACAATAGCATTTTCTTCAAAGGATTATGATGAGTAAATGACTTAATATTTATAAAGTGTTTAGAACAATGCCTAGCGTATAGCAAGCATTAGGTGTTTGTCAAATAAGCCAAAACCCAACAGGAAGCTGCTACAGACCAGGAGGTGTCCCCTTTTGTAAATCAGCAGTTGCCCCTGCTATTATTTGCAGTGATGTGGGCTCTTAGTTCAGCAACCTTGGCTTTTGGTTTCAGCAGAGAAAGAATTCAGAGTCAAGAACTCTAGCACAGGAATTTTATATACCAAGCAAAGCAAAAGCACATTGAACAGGAGAATCAAGCAGGCTGCTCAGAGAGCTGCTTTGGCCATTTAGAAAGAAGGCAGAAGAAATAAGCCAGCTGGGCTCTGTGGACTCAAGAAATAAATTAACAGAGGCAAAAGAAGGGCCCTTAGAGCTTAGGAGAAAGAAAGCAAAGATACATACCTAAAGAAGGAAGGCATGGGCGTACTGTAGAGAGAGTGCACACCGGGTCCTTTGTCTCAAGGGTTTTTATCTGTTTTCTAAAGGCATAAATTTTAGGGGAGTTCTCAGGGGAGGATCTCAATAGAATATTCATCAGCTTTCCAGGTGTGTCCTTTAATAAGCTAATTCATCAAAATGAGCATATAGGGTCAGGGTCATGGTCTCTACTGATTGGTCAGTGCTAGGATAGGGGGTCTTTGTCTTGTTTTGTTGCTTTTCTGGGCCTGTAGCTGAAACACAACTGAGGCCTAGATGTTGTCTCTAGTTTGACCAAAACTCTGTCTGTGTGGTCAACAGACTCACAGCTTTGTTCCTAAGCTTATCTGATATGGATCAAGACCTCATCGTCCTGAGGGCTTATGAAAGTGATTGTGCAAGGGAGGAGGCAGGAGAGTCACAGTGTGGATGAGGCCATTTGAGTCAGCTTTTTGTCTGTTTCCCCATTCCACTGGCCAAGGAATTTTCACAGATTCTTACTATCCTGCCTCACTATGACCTAGGGTCCAGCAGTTGCATTTCAGTGGGTCCCTGCGATGGGGGGGCTGTGAATCCCTGAGGCATCTCTCCTACTGAGGTGGTTGTTCAGACTGAAAACTCAGTGCCAAGGGCTTCAGAACTGCTAACGTGATAGTCCCTGGGGATTCCTTTGATTTGAGAGTGTTGGGAGGAAAAACTTTTCTTCTACCAATTTAGTTTTGAGGGGTGAGGATGGGGGCATGTGACTTAACTAACAATAGACAGATTAGCAAAAGAAAAGATGAGGTTTGTACACATACTGAGGATGGGCACAAGGAGTAACAAGTAACTCACTGAATAACCAGAGGCAAAGGTTTATATACCCATTTAACAAAACCAAGGATTAGGGCTTTTTTAGGGTTAGGATGGAAGGTTCTGATGAGGTTTGGCTTGTTTGCACAGTTTCTTGGGAATGCCCCGGAGCGTTGGGGGTGGTTGTGGAAGCTGATTTTCCTGAAGCTCCATGTAGTCGGTAAGGGAAGTTCGCACGAGATTTCCTTCTGCTCTGTTGCTGGGCTATTAGCCTCTTCAGGGGAAGTACCTGGGAGGGAGAAGGAGTGAGGAAATAAATGGGGGTGAATGGCTGTAACCTCTTGGGAGCCCTAATATTCTGCCTGCCAGAAGAGGCAAAACCCCAGCCAAGAAGCCTCCCCACACATGCAGTAGGAAAAGCCACTCAGAGTTGCTAAGTGCTGTGTGTAGGTTATTTATTGCTATGTAGTAAGCAAACATTGATCATCTCTGAGAGTATTTAAGGGTCAGGAATTTGGAAGTGGCTAAACTGGGTGGTTCTGGCTCAAGGTTTCTCAGGAAGCTGTCACCTGAAAGCTTGACTGAAGCTGAGGGGGTGCATCCATGGGTCCTCACACGGCAGTTGGCAGGAGGCCTTAGCTCCTTACCGCCTGGACCTCTGATAGGGCTGCTGACGAGTGTCCTTACAACACAGCAGGTGGCTTCCTCCAGAGAGAGCAGTCCAAGACAGAAATAAGACAGAGTCTAATGTCTTTGTTCAGCTAGCCTCAAAGGCATATGCCGGCTCTTCTGCTGCATTCTGTTGGTCATGCAGACCCCTCCTGCTTCAGTGAGGGAGGACACTACACAAGGGCATGAAAGCCAGCAGGTGGGGATCACTGGGCACCAGCGTAGAGGCTGGTACCACAGACTTCCAGTTCTCTCTCTCAGAAGAATGTTCACCTGGGCACTAGCCCAGATGTCAGCCCAATTTAGAGACACCCTGGCAGGAGCCTCCCAGACTGAGAACCCAATGCACTGGGGTGGGGTTTGGTGCTGCTCCCCACAGCCTCAGTCTGCGTCCTCACTGAACGGCATGTCCACTCTGAATTGGGGAGTCAGGCCCGTGCGTGAGAGAGTGAAGACTAGATGCAGGGCACGGGGTGGAAGAAGCACTGGGCTCATGGCCCCTCTCCAAGTCAAGGCTGGGAAGTGAAGCCTCCACTCCAAAAAGAAAAGGGAAAAAAAAAGACAACAGTAGGAAAACATGAAAAAGTTTGGCCTAAGATTTCAGAAAAGGGGAACGTGATGCAGCTGGGGCAATTCTGTAGGCTTCAGGGAGGAGACAGGACATTAACTGCTAACACTCAACACTCTTCTGAGCCCAGATATGATGACCTATTGACACCTCTCCACTGCTTCCTGCTGTTCTGTGCCTCCCAGCCATTGCGTACGCTCTTCCCTCCAGCAGGGACACCTTTCCCCTTCTCCTTAACTCCATTTCTCCTTCAGATTCAGCAAGGAGCACTGCCTCCAGGAAGCCATCCCTGATACCCTCCCATCTGAAGTAGCTGCCCACCTCTGTGGCCTCAAAGCACCCTCACCTCACACAAACCCCTACAGCATTTTGCCGCACTGCCTACCTGCTCCCCACGACACTTGAACTTCCTTGAGGCCTGGCGACATTGTCAGATGCAAATCATACGGTGCCAGCGCTGTTCCTGGTGCGTGCTCTGCACTGATTATGTCTATGGAAGAAAAGGGAGGAAGGGGAAGATTGGTGGGCTCAGGAGACAACAAATAACTCATCGTCTTTCTCCCCTTCATGCCCTGCAAGTGGGGCTTCGAGGGAAATCAGGGCCCTTGGCTAGAACCACTCTCCCCTGCCTCTTCACACCCAAGGAAAGATAACCTGAACAGCTCTAGTTTAGATCATAATAACATGTTGTTTGAGAAAGAGCTTTTGGTGCTGAAGGTGCATGCGCGCGCGCGCAAACACACACACACACACACACACACACACACACACACACACACACACACACAAGGTGGGCTGGAGGCATGTTTGTCTCCAGGATATCCTGATTTTGCCGGAGGAACTTGAGGCTAATAACAGGTTGAAACCTCCCCATGGTGACAATCTCTATGGGAAAATCTCATGACCAGGCCGGTTCCCTGATAGCAGTCAGCAGTGCTAGAAGGAGGCTGAATATCTGTGTTGAAATAGACTCAAGGCCACAACTTGTAGTGACCCCAGAATGAGGTCAGCCATTGGAGAATCACAGGGGACTGAAGGACACTCCACTTCCCCTGGTGCTGCCCAAGGCTGCCCACGGGCCCTGCTCTGATAGCCTCCCTGCCACCTCTGGGCACACATTATACCTCTGACCATTCACAGCCGCTCACTTGAGTTCTTTTTCCACATGCGTCAGGTTAATGTTTTAAATATTAACTGATGTTTTGTTTTGGTTACTTTTCTGTTTGCTGAAACCTCATGTACGCAGAACGAATTAGCCATCTCCTAGGTTCAAGGCACACCATCTCTGTTAGAGTGCGCAGGGTCACTTCTACTTACTATATTTTGTAGGTTTTGTTTTTGTTGTTGTTTTTACCTCTTCACCCCATTCCCAATCTCATTTTTCTCCTCTTACCATTCCTGTGATTCTGAATGTCCTATTAATCTATATTTCCATTGGTATCCAGCCCGTATTGGTATTGTTTTGTGCATTTTTAAATACTTTTTCTTTATTGATTTTAGAGAGAAAAGAAGGGAGAGGGAGAGAGAAATAGAAACATCAATGAGAGAGATCACTTCCTGCATGCCCCCCACTAGGGATTTGGCTCATAACCTGGGCATGTGTCCTGACTGGGAATTGAACTGGTGACCTCTTGCTGCATGGGTTGATGCTCAACCACTGAGCTACACCAGCCAGGCTTGTGGATATTTTTTAAAAATAATTTTCAGCTCTGGACAGTTTGCGAAGTGGTTAGAGCATCAGCCCATGGACCAGAGAGACCCAGGTTTGGTTTCCGCTGAGAACACGTACCTCGGTTGCAGTTTGTCCCAGCCCTGGTTGGGGTCGTGTGGGTGGCAGCCGGTCGATGTGTCTCTCTCACATCGATGTTTCTCTCTCTCTCTCTTCCCCCCTCTCCCCCTTCCACTCTGTCTGAAGATAAATTAAAAAATGCCCTCAGGTGAGGATAAGAAATAATAATAACAATAATAATAATAATAATCTTCAGTGTTCTTTTGTATATATATCATTCTCTTCTCACTTTTTTTCAGTCAAGATTCTCAGATCTTGAGATGGCTCCAAGTTGATCTAAATAAATATGGACCAGAGTGTTCCCTTTTCTCTGCTGAATAGGACACATTTTATTGATCCACTTTACTACTAGTAAACTTCTAGGTGTTTCCAAACCTTTGCTATTACAAACAATTCTACGAGAACATATTCATTCATACATGTTCTTCGGGGGAGGGGCCTGGCTCCGCGCCCAGGAGTGCAGGGCGGTGGGACTGTCTGTGTTCGTTTCACCGAACACTTCCAACCCGCTGCCCGGGAAGGTTGCACCAGTTGCCCTGCCCATGAGCCTTTCTGCTTCCCTTCATCTTTGGCACAAGTTGATATCACCCAACTTCTTAATATTTGCCGACCTGATAGGTACAAGATCTATATCTACACCTTAACCAAATTTTCTGTAATTTTTCCTTCCCACCCCCATCTGTGTCCTTGTTCGGAGAGCCAGGCTGGCTGTTCTCTCTTCCTCAGGGAAGGGGGATGATGGCTACAAGCTGGAGGGGAGTGGAAGGAAGGGGGAGGTATCTCCTTGGGCTTTTGAGTTTCAAACCTGAACTCTTAGGGGACCAAAAAGGATTCATGGCACAGAAAAAAGATTTGGGAGATAAACACAGTGAAAAAGAGAGGAAGAGCAAGCACCTCCTTTGGCCCAGCCCCACCGGGTCAAACAGCAGGGCTGGGCTGGGTGAGGAGAGTGTTGGAAGCCAGGCAAGGAACATTCCCATGGACCGTGAACCGGACGCTGACAGGCGAGGCGGTGGCACAGCAGAGCAGGTGGGCCAGTGTAAGGGCAGCAGAGAGGGGTGGAGACTGCGGCGCCCGGGTGGCGGGTGCCTTCCTGCCGCACTCCTCAACTCCAGCTAGTACTGTGGCGTGGAGGTCGGGCCCAGTTACCAGTGCTTTCCACTTTTTTTCAAGAGAATCCAAAATCAGAATTTTTATGTGGAAACTCCCCTCTAAAGAAAAAAGGTGGCCCTGGCTGGTTTGACTCAGCAGTTAGAGCATCAGCCCATGGACTGAGGGGTTGTGGGTTCAATTCCTGGTCAAGGGCATGTACCTGGGTTGCAGGTTTGATCCCCAGCCCTGGTCAGGGTTGTGCAGGAGGCAACGAATTAATGCGTCTCTCTCACATCAATGTTTCTTTCTTTCTCCCTCCTTCCCTCCCTTCCACTCTATCTAAAAAATTAATGGAAAAATATCCTTGAATGAGAATTAACAACAACAACAAAAAGGTGACTATGGAAAACTTCAAATGTATTAAAAATTAGCAAAATAGTATAATGAACCTGCTTGCACTTATCACCACGTTTCAACAAGTGTCAATTTGTGGCCAATTTTGTGGCATCTATAACCCTATCCACTCCCCCCAATCCCGAATATTTTGAAGTAAATCCCAGACTCACCATTTTCTTTGTAAGGATTAGGACTCATGTTTCTAACCATAACACAATGTCATAACTAAATAAACCCCAATAATCTCACATAAAATAGCCTGCCAGTGTTAATGTTTACAATTTTCTCATGCAGGTCATAAATGCTTCTATTATTTTATATTTTATATTTTACAGTTTGTTTGAAACAGGATGCAAAGTCCACACACTGCAAGTGATGGATGTTTTTAAGTTCCCTTTAACCTATAGGTTTGCTCCCCTTCTTTTTGTCCCTTGTAGTCTATTTGTCAAAGAAGCCAGGGCTGCCCTGGCCGGTTTGGCTCAGTGGTTGGAGTGTCAGCCTGTAGACCAGAAAGTCCTGGGTTTGGTTCCCGCTAGGGGCACGTACCTGGCCCTGGCCCGGTAGCTCAGTTGGTTAGAGTATCATCTCAATACACGAAGGTTGTGGGTTCCATCCCCTGTCAGGGCACATACAGGAAGCAAGCAGTGAATGCATGAATAAGTGAAACAATTGATCTCTCTCTCTCTCTCAAATCAATTAAAATTTTTTCTGAAAAAAAAAACAACAAAAAACAAAAAAACACAGCAGCAGCCAGGCCCTTTGCCATGTAGAGTTTCCACAGTCTGGGTTTGGCCGGTGTCATTTACATGCTCCTCTGTCTTCCTCATTTCCTGTAAATTGGTAGATGGATTTAAAAGCTAAACCTCTCATAACAAAATGTTCACAACCTTTGAAAAGAATCTTTAAATACTGTCTGAGCCAGACAAAATATCTCCTGAACTGGATCTGACCTGCATGCTACTAATTTGCTCCCTCCAGCTTAGATGTTAGTGGATCATGGACAGAAGGATTCAGGGTCCTCTGTCCTGAGCTGAGCCTCAGAGAGAGAGAACACAATCCAAATGAACTGACAGAATCCCACTCAGAGAGGTGGTGAGACCACAGAGATGGGAAAAGGGTGAACAGCGTGTGGAGGCAGACAGAGCCTGGTACAGCCTGGCAGGGCAATTGGCAGGCGCTCAAAGGAAACACAGAAGTGGAGAGATGCCTGGTCCTGAAGGACCCTGTGTTTTCACACCAACCAAGGAGCATCTGCCTTGCCCTGCCCTACCCCCATGCCACGGGAAGTCCTCCAGAGCTAGACAATTAGAGGAAATGGGGGTGGACCCCATGTGGCTGGGATGAAGATCAGGATACCTGATGGAATGGAGACTGTACTAGAAGTTCAGCTGCATTCAGGAAAACAGAGAAGTTTGTTTCTTTCTTACTTGAGTTTGGGGACTGCGGTTTCTACCCACTACAATGGGAGCTGCCAGGGACCCCTATGAACCCCTTTGCAGCACGTCTCAGATGTGTGGCCCCTTCCCCATGGGAGAACTGTATTGAGAAGGTGAGGGGAACCCTCAGAGGTCCATAATGACTCCAGAAATCCTCCTTTCCCTCTTTCTGTTTGATTCTGATGGAAATATTTGTCTTACTTCCTGGGTTTTGTCTTTTTAAAAAACACTTGCATACCCTCATCATTAATTTACTAATGGATTTTGTTTTTCAATCTGAACTGAGGTTCTTGTTTTCAGTAGAAGAATTTTGACTATATTAACTTACTATTCTGTTTAATCATTTTCAGGATTCATATTTTATATTTCCTTGTGTCTTTTCCATTATGTCTTTTGCTTATTTGCATCTTATAAGTATGTGTAGTAAGTCACATTTATTTATGTATTTTTATTTTTGGTTAATCCTCACTCAAGGACATTTTTTCCTTTGATTTTTTAGATAGACTGGAAGGGGGGAAGAGAGAGAGAGAAAAACATTGATGCAACAGAGATACATCAATTGGTAGCCTCCCACACAACCTGGACTGGGGCTGGGGATCAAACCTGCAACCCAGGTATGTGCCTTTGACTGAGAATTGAACCCACAACCCTTTGGTCTTCAGGTTGACAGTCCAACCACTGAAACAAACCGACCAGGACAAGTCACATTTTTATTTTCCAGCAGTAAAGGACAATTAACTTAAAACAATGAACAATTTCTTTTCTTTTTTTTTTTTT